CCACACACAGCGACCCCGATTATAGAATAGCTGTCCTTAGTGTATCTGCAAGTAGACACAAGCCAGGTCCACATGTCAATACATGTGGAATGGGGAGAAGAATTTAGATGGGTGCATCTCCAACATGGAAACAGCAAAGCGACTTTAGACTGAGACAGACTCTTTGTGGAAAACATGAATGCAACCAGCCACCAAATGTCCTCTGAACTGTGAGGCTTTTGTTGGGGACAGCAGAGCAGGAGCTGACTCACACCAGGGCAACTTGTTTCTGTAGTTGGAGGTGTGGATTCACATCAGTTACTGAACAGGTCTGACCGGCAACAGTGAGCTGGTCTGACTGTGCTTTGGAGCCAAATAGGAACCCAGCTGTGCACTCTGGTTTCTGAAGACTGACGAACCAAATGAAGACTTTAAAGAAAAGCCTGGGGTGGTGATGGCAGAAGATGGATGCTCTGAGAGGAACATGGCTTTTGCCTTTTTATGGTATTTATTCACTGGTGTTTCAGACAGATGTGACACGGTGGCCTGTCACCAGCGAAGGCAACGCTGCCATGTATGGAGCATCAATGTGGCTGAACCGGGATCTGCTGTCAGCCTTGAGATCCAGGGCTAGACCCCAGAGTCACAGCGGTCAGAAAGCCTCATCTGGCGATGGATGAAGAAGAGGATGTATGTAAGACAGGGCTGAACCTGACAGGTGTAGAATTTGTGCATATTAGTGGAGAACATGTCCGATATTGTTTACACAGCTGGACTCATCCTGCACCTTCCCTCCACAAGAAACTGAGATATTTAACAAGCACCAGGAGAACAAGCCTGGGACTTGGGCCTCAAGCAGTCGACCGCCCAAGTCTGGGCAAATTACAATCCTGCCTGAGAGAAAATCAGCCCTTGTTTGGTTTGCTATAAAAATAAAATTGGAGAACTGTATGCACTGAGGTAAACATGTAATTTGTGACCAGTGGGTGGAAGCACTCGAGCCTGTAATTGAACAGCGAGTCAGCTCACTGAAACAACATAACTCGTGCGTCCTCGTGGTTACATGGTGTCGGTTTCTGAGAAATGCTGTGCTGTTGGTTAACATCACTGACAGGGACACAGGACTAGGTTGGCGCTGCCAGAGGTGTCCAAGGACTCCTGTAAAGGCAGGTTTGATGGACAGTTCTTTATTATTCTTTAATTTTTGTTCCTTTATTATGACTAAGGTTAAGGAACAGCCTCACAAGTTAAGGTTTCTTAACTGAAACTTGGAGGAAAGTTCACGCACCTTATGACAGCCTTGATTCATAAGATTGTATTTAATGCAAAGAAACGCAAAGGGATTAAGAAGTCTAACACTACACAGACATTAAGACAATCACACCATTTTGCCTGTTGTGTAATAAGATAGTGGCTTAGACATTTTTGTGGTTTTCTGTGAAAATGGAAACATTTAAGGAGAGTTAAGGTTTCTAAGGAGACTGCTGCATCTCAGTCCTACAGTATTTTTAACTTCATGGGTAATAAAATTGTTTACCCACTTGTATGTCGTGGTTATAGAGCAGCTATGTACAGGTGTATTGTTACCCTCTTTGTCGTTCTCTACTGTATCTTACTGAAATAGTCCATGAACAGTGTAGCACTGAACAGAGTTCAGATCCTTTATGAACATTAAGTTCCGATTTGAAACCATGACTATGTCTACTACTCTACTGTACATTAATGCCATCGGTAATAAAAACACTTTTTAAGTTAAATGCTAACTTGGAAGGTGTTGCATATGTTGCCAGTTCAGCTTGTTAGCATGCTAGCATTTGCTCATTAGCAGCCATTAGTTCACAAACCAAAGTAATTTTAACATCAGGGTGGCGCAACATAAAAAGTCACAAGCTCAAGTCGGAATTAATCCTCTGTACAAATGTTTCATTCCAATTCACCTGGCAAATATTTAAGGTTGGACAAATAGGTGGCTTGGCCGTCAAGAGCCATGCACAGCTAAAAATAGATTCAATTAACAACCTTTGTCAATGTCAAGTGTTTTAATAGCTAAATACAAGACTAACACATACACAGATCAATTCTTTGATTACACAGTGTGCCGAGGACATCAGTATTAAAATTAGCAAACCACCACATGGTCACTTCATTTCTACGAGGCATTAAAATCAGAGGAGCTGCCGCTGTATGGGCCACGGTCATGTCTTCACCTACTGTCACCACAGGACTTTGTCATCACTTTTTAAAGCTCAGAGTGATCCAGCAGTTTAAAAACAACTTTCTATACAAATTAGTTTTAACATAAAAGGCTTAAATTTACTTTTACATGTTCCTTCTTTAAATGTACCCAACGCTCTGCTTGAGTAAAAAAAAACAAATAATAATCAGTGAGGGTGTAGAGACTGGAACAGCCTCACAAGAGACCACAATAGGAAATATGGCATTTTATAAAAAGTTTTAATTTCACTGAGCAAAACAAAAAGCAGTAAAAGACAAAGTCCCTGTCCCAAAACTTGACAATAAAAATAAATGTGTGGTGAACCCAGGGAACACGCAGGGCTTTCACATCAACGATGAAGTACATCTACTTCCAAGTACAAGACAAGTTCCACGGAGAGGAAGACGTCTGCTTGGCTGAGGACTCATCTGGACTGCTCAACTGGAGAGGGAGGGGGAGAGAGGAGGAAGGGGGGTGAGAGGTGCGGTAACAGCTGAACATAACAGCTTTTCAGCAGCAGGTTAAACATGTGAGGAAAGTGCACATGGCAGCATCAGCTGCTGTAAGGCGACTCAAGGTTTATTACCCCAGCTGAGGGTCTACGGGAAACATGGAGCTGGCCTTGACACACAACATCAACAACAGTGTGTGGTTGTGATGGTCAACGTACCTCATCCTCACATTACTCTCACTTATTACTTCTACCCGTCACCACACGGTGCATTTCCAGCTGGTTTTAATACTCATTTTTAAAATCTTAAACAAACCCTTCAGTCCATGGTACCATCAAAAAGTAAAACTCTTTTTACTCCCAGGCCCGTAACTGGTATTCTGGTGAGCTTTTAAACAGACACAGGACACAATCTGGACCTTTGTCTTTTTAATTCCATATTTTAACATTTTACAATTCAACTGCCCATAAATGCTCAGTTTTGGGTCAGAGATGCTGATTGGTTTGTTTTGCTCCAGTGAGAGCACTGATGTCACCTGTAAATCATCGGTGAATCCCTTGAATTTGTCTGCACCGGGGTTTTTTTTTTTTTGGGTCTACATATCTTGTCATAGTTAACCTAAAATTAACTGGCAACTATTCTGGTTTGACCTTCTCTGATGTCGCATATTCCTGTTCTACTTTGGTTGGGATGTACATGAGCTGCTTTAATCAGTGGTCTTCTGTTCTCCAAATGAGCCCCCAGTTGTCTGTTTGCTTGTCTCTCTGACCCAAAAATTACTGTCATGGCAGAGAAGTTAGCCCCAAGCTAGCAGATAAGATGCTAAAGATGCTAACTGCTTTGTACCACAACATAAAACGTTCATTTCTATGATCCAACTCATATTAAAAACATTGTGGAGGAGATTCTGAGGTTCCACACAAGGTGTTTCTTTAATAGATTCACACATAAAAATGTAAACTTATCAATTAAGGAAATGTGAAGTTCAGTGTGCTGGGGCTCGCCAACCATTAAGAGGTTGAGGCCTTTGCAGCGGGAAATGGAAAGACTTACTGTAAGAGGAGATGTCAATCTCATCTGGCAGCTCGGCCACGTTGACCTCGAAGCGGTCCTGCACATCGTTCAGAGTCTTAGCGTCAGTCTCGTCAGACACAAAGGTGATAGCCAGGCCTTTGGTCCCAAACCTACCAGCACGGGCAACCTGAGGGGTTCCACAGTGATACAAGTTAGCGAAATCCTAAAATTTAACACATCACACTACGAGTCGAAGACAGCTACCCAGAGTTTGATGTGCATCACTTAGGTTCTGGAAAAGAAATTCATTCAAACCAACTTCTGAGAATGTTGCCAAGAACAAACAACCAGCTGTTTCCCCTCGGCAGCTCTCACCCGGTGCAAATAGGTGTCCGAATCTTCTGGCATGTCGTAGTTGAAGACGATATTGACCCGCTCGATGTCCATCCCTCGGCCAAAGAGGTTTGTGGCCACCAAGATGCGCCTCTGGAAGTCCTTGAATTGCTGATAGCGAGACAACCTGGGGGTTAGGAGGGGCAGCGGGGAAGACAGAGGATTATCAACACAGCTGCTGTGGCATCACCGGACTCATTCCACTTTGAAGGCACTGTGAAGGTGTTGAGATAACTGATGAGGTATCATGATGCATAAACATATTCCACGTTCATTCAGAGTCCAATAGAGCCTGTGTTTTGCAGGATGTCAGAACATGTGTCAGCCTCACCTTTCCTCCTGGGCCATCCCCCTGTGGATGGCAATGGCGGGGAAATTCTGTTCCACCAGAAGCTGGGACAGAGCGATGCAGCGCTGAACTGACTTGACAAAGATCACCACCTGGAGGCAAAGCAAAGCCAATAAAGCACAGATTAACGACTGGCAACCTGAGGGGTGTATATGGGGTTCAGTAGCAACTGAATTCAAATCCCTTATTCCATCCATCCATCCATTTCCCTCCACTTATCCGGGACCGGGTCGTGGGGGCCGCAGTCTTAAGCAACACTCCCTCCAGCTCCTCCGGGGTAATGCCGAGGCTTTCCCGGGCCAGCCGAGAGACATAGTCCCTCCAGCGTGTCCTGGGTCTTCCCCGGGGCCTCCTCCCAGGCCTCAAATCCCTTAATTCAATCTGTTTAAGGTGTTTATAGGCCGTGAACTGGTTTTACTTTACTCGGTGCCATCACAAAACTGATTTAAAACAGTTAGTCTAACCAAAGGTATAAATGAAGCTTCTTCTAATCTGAGCATCAGATGCAGCTGAGCTGAGCACTGCACTACTACAGGTCCCAGAGCCAGACACCCACAGAGCACGGCATAACAGTGGTGGCAGGATGAGTAGGCCGTGCACTCGTCCTCACATTATCAGCAGTAACACGGGGCTGACTAGCCTGTCGTACGCTATAGAAACTGTTAAACACAGGACTTGTTCCTCCACTAATATCACATCTTTCAGTTGTTTCTGACTTGGGAGCATCAGCCATGTTTGTTGTTAACAACAGCATTTCTGAGTTAT